CGCTAACTGGCTGCTGGACAGTGAAGAAATCATTCCCAACATTTTATGGAGCGATGAAGCAAATTTTTCTATGGATGGCGTAATCAACAAGCACAATTGCGTGAATTGGTCCTGTGAAGCTCCTCACGGGTACCTCACCCATAATCTCCATTCCCCTCATTTGTGTGTGTGGATGGGATTCTCCTCAAAGTGTCTCTTGTGTCCCTTTTTCTTCGATGCTACGATTTCGGGCGACAGTTACCTTCATATGCTGCAGACGCATGTTATCCCGTAACTCAAGCAGCACAAGAAGTCATCGACCGTCTTTCAACAAGATGGCGCTCCATCCCACTACTCAAACCAAGTGAGAACTTACCTCCGAGAGCAATTTTCCGATGAGAGAGTCATTGCTCGTGGATTTTCAAACTTTTGGCCCGCAAGGTCACCCGATCTCACACCTCTGGATTATTGGTTTTAGGGGATGACCAAGGCACACGTACATCATGAAAATAAACTGAAGAATTTGGTGGAGTTAAGAGCAAGAATTGAAGAGGAGTGTTCACGAGTGACGCATGAAGAAGTTAAACACGCTGTGTCTCAGATTTCATACTGCCTCCAACTTGTCATAGAAGAAAGAGACAGATTGTTCAACATCTTTTGTAATTTCAGTTTGTTTAGAGTAAACCTCCATGATGTTTGTATGTCAAGGTTTTAACATGAGTATTATTTTTTGCGTCTATTATGAGATACCCTGCACTGTTCTCCATTGAATGAGACAGTACTCATTAATGCTACACGCGTTGGTTCTATCCACCTTATAGATCTTCAGAGCTTCAGCAGTGCTAAGTTCATTGGTGACGGTACTTGTGTCATATTCCTACTGTTGGACGAACGATGGTTCAAGTGTTGAAAACCGCAAATTGGTTACGGATACATGGATTCCTATTTCAGCACTTCCATAAAGCAGTTTTAGACAATGACTGAACAGTTGGTGCTCTAGGCGTTTCACGTTGGGGATATAACATTGTGAAGTGAGTCTATAAAATCTGACAAAATATCAGAATACTCGTTAAATTAGTGCTAGCAGACTCATAAGGCCCAGAAAAGATTCCCCTTAAGGGCAACTTTCCAAGGTAATAAAAGTAGCTAAGTTACTGAAGAATAACTGCAACATTAGGGGAATAGGTTTGTAACTAACAGTCTCCATTAACACAGGAGGTAAGTAATCAAAATCAGTGAGGGAGCTGAGAGTCACGTGACCAGCTTTGACATTCTTAAGGCAGGCGTACTTGCGGTCGTCCGATTAGCTGAGCTGTCAGATGCAACAAAGTCAGGTTACATGCAGGGCGCAACTTGTTTAGTTCTATTGGTGATAAAGTCATTAATTCAGCCAGGAACCCAAAAAACCCAGTCAGCTGCATAAAAACTTACTGAGTCGGAGAAAGCGGACCAGCCCTTTGTCTCAGGAAGATAAAAGCTCCAGGCACCTGGTTTACGCAGACGCCCGCGAGGTTTGTGAGGTACGCGCTTATTTCGTCCAGAGTCATACGAAGTAACGCAACCACAGCTACAAACCTCTTCTCCGCTCTTCTCACTGGGGCCGGTGTTTGCTATCTTAAATGCAATGGAAAAGAAGAGAATTCAACGGTTTGTTCTAATAAGTTAGCTGCGGCGCTCGTCTGGGAAAGAAATTACTCTGTCAGTCTTCGATTTCGTTTTCACTGTAAATTTAACAGTTCGTTATAAGAAACTCCAGTGAAAGAAACACCTTAAAGGAAGTATTTTTGCGATTCTGTTCATTATGCAATCGTTTGAGTCATTGACTCAATCGACGACCTATGGTGATTCGATTAAACAAACAGACACCTACTCAGGAACAAAGCAAGAACAGTACAAGTGGATGATATTATTATTATCATCGACAGCATGACATCAGTGTTCAAAATCGGCGCTTTACTTCCTTACAACCACGATTTATTTGAAAGCCTTATTGAGAAGAAAAGAATAAAGGTGGAATGAGGAAGGACTTGGTGCTAGTTTAGTACAATAACTCCGAGGTGCATACACCTCAAAACACTCATTCAGGCAATCTGGAAACAAACCGACAACAAGATCATCACTGACATCGCTTGGCAGCCATATATCGCAGCGTCTTCAACCAGGCGCGATGAGGATCACGCATTCGCCATCCTGGAAGGTGAGTAGCACTGACAGCACCCAAACGTTTCGTGATTTCTTTCACACCCCTCTGCCAGGTCAAGGGTTGGTCACCTATCTGCTTCCGCCACTCTGACTTCGGCATTTGGACAGTACTCTTCGCCACATGATGGTTAGACATACGCAACGCATGTTCCAACCAACGCAACTTCTGGTGCTGGACACATTCTTCCATAGAAATACCCGTTGCACAAACGAAAAATCGCCTCTAATTGCCTCGTTACGGATACACCGACACCAATCCACACGATCTATGTTCCTGAGACAACGATTATCGAACACAAGAAGAAGTCCCAGTTCCGCATGTCAGGTCTCACAGCCATACAACAAAACAGCCTACACTGTTGCTTGATACACACGTCCCTTGAGGTTTAGGGATACACCACTCGAACGCTATAGGTGTCTCAAATTAGCAAACGCGACCCGGGCCTTGCAGATTCTTGCAGTGACCTCAATTGTCACACTACAGTCGAAGCTAGTACAACTTTCGAGACACGTAAAACACGCCATAACTTCGAGTATCTTTCCCCGGCCTGTTCAGTGCCCGCATATCTACAAGCATGATCTTACACACTGCGAGTGCAAAGTGCATGCCAAAGGACGGGAGAACTTGGGTCAGTTCATCCAAAAACACTTGCGCCTTCTTCCTCTCTTTGAAGAGGAGAAAAATATCGTCTGCGTATTCCAGATCGACAAGGTTTTGCCCCAGGGTATTTGAACACAGGGATTTCGGAGACCTCTGGGCGTTCGCCTCATGATTTCGCTGATCACAAAGTTAAGCAGGAATTGGTTGGGAGTGGACATCCCTGACGGTCACCACTTAGAGCACGGAAGATTTTGGAGAGCTCTCTGTATACTATCACACGTCCGGAAGTCTGGGAACATAAAGAGGTTATTATGTTCACAAACTTCGGGGGCATTCCCTGGTGGGTAAGCGTTTGAAGCAGAACAGACCGGTCAACCGAATCGATTTCGCCTTGGAAATCCAAAAATACTAGAAATGTGGGTCGTTTATACGTATGTCATTGTTCTAGCACCTGACAGAATGTGAAGATTTGGTTAACACAGCCTTACCATACAGTGTTCCCGGTTGCTGACCTTAAGTCAATGTCCAACGAGCCGCCGTAAGGCGACGAAGCACAAGTGACGCCAACATTCTTTGGTTACCACACTCACTACGAGCCATTTTTTTGGAGTTGGGCACTACCACTGACTCCCCTCATTTGTCTGGGACAGACCTATTTTCATAAATGCAGGCAAACAGATCAGACAAGCTTTGACCGAGGACTTCACCTCTGTCTTTGAGAAATGCGAGTGGGAGGTCATCCGGATCAGAAGCTCGGTGGCGCTTGAGAGAACATATGTAAACGTAAACCTCCGAGGCCGTAGGTGGTTCCACTTTGACTGTTCAGGGTTCTACTTCAACTGTGGGTTCCAGATGAGTGCCAGCTGGTGGCCACGACAACTTTTGTTCGACGTTCTTGTTCCACCGGTTCAGGCGTTCTTATTTATTCAAGATGGTCACCCCTTTCTGATTCTTGATGGTTTCGCTCGCAGGTGATATCCAGAGACCAGTCGCACGGATTAGCTCAAATACTCTTCGTGCATTCTCGGTGTTCGGGAGCTCTTCCATCTTCTTGGATTTCTTTGTACACCTTAATTCATGGTCAGCTTGCACGCCCAACCTCAATAGACGTCTGATAATTCGTCCCATCAAGTTATGTTCCGAGCTAGCCGGTATAGAGTGCCAGCTGGTGGCCACGACAACTTTTGTTCGACGTTTTCGTCCCAGCGGTCCAGGCGTTCTTATTTATTCAAGATGGTCATCCCTTTCTGATTCTTGATGGTTTCACTCGCAGGTGATATCCAGAGACCGGTCGCACGGATTAGCTCAAATACTCTTCGTGCATTACCGGTGTTCGTGAGCTCTTCTATCTTCTTGGATTTCTTTGTACAGCATAATTCATGGTCGGCTTGCACGCCCAGCCTCAATTGACGTCTGATAATTCGTCCTATCAAGTTATGTTCCAGGCTATCCGGTATATGAAGCGACTCCGGACGAGTGGGTGGTCAGAATCACCAAACGGGTTATAAGACGACCGACAGTCAGCTAATGATTCATGCCACCAGTAGCTAATAGCAATGTGATCGATTTGGGTTTGTGGCCGATATGCCGTTGGAGGACCATGTGGCCAGCCGACTACGGCTACATCGGAGGTTAGTAGTGCATAAAAGCAACTTGAGATCAGCGCACGGCTAAAGCAATCGTTCCCCACTGTCCGTGCGTACCGAGTCCAATCCGTGTCGACCACCTAATTGATTCTCAGATGCGCTAGACCTGTCCGCTTGTGCACTCAGATCTCCGGCAACCAACCCGACGCCTGGGCTTTTAGCTCTCCGCAGGAGGGCATCCAGTGCGTCGGAAGATTTTTCTTCGATGTCGTCAGAGGTACAGCCAGTTGGGGCTGAGACAGACACGATAAACAGACATGTATCGACCTCCCGCTTGTGAGATTCCCTCAAAGACTTTGCCAGACGAACCGCATACAGGCGACTATCAAGTGGTGTCCAGTCAAGCAAGCAACCTTCCACTCGGTGCTTAGGACGATACCAGCCCCTGCACATGCCGCCGCAGCAGCATCTGAATCACCAGAGTTACGTAGCCGGAAGCGAGTAGAGATTGATGAGGCGGTCAGCCAAATAACTGTGCTTGCATCTTGAATTTTCGTTTGTGAGACAGAGCACACATCAATGTCAAGTGAGTCCAGCGTGTGAGCCAGAGCAGCTTTTACGTCAGAGTGCGGACATTGAAGGCGGCCAGGTAGACTGGCTGTTGACTTGAAGATTGAATTGGAGATACCTAAAGATGTCGGCGCCGTGCGACGAGCAGATGCTGCACGCAAAACCGATGCAAGACGAACGGAGTCATCAGTCCTAAGTACAGGGCCTACAAGAGGGGAGTTATTACTGGGGTGCGGAGATGGGGGGGGGGCAGAAAAAAGTATTTGAAAGGAAAAAAAGGGAGGCGTCAGCAGTAGCCTATTTTCGCCTACTCGCCCTGCTGTATGCAGCAAGTAAGGCGACCCGACTATGGCACTACGCGACGGCTTATATGGCACGAGTTTATTTGTGTATGTGCAGTTCATTGTTGTATGTGGGCTCTGATACTGTCAGGGAGCCCACATCTAGACAGCAGGACGATTAGGGTCCTCAAAATCCTAATCGTAAGGCAGCGGTGTTTGGCGGGGAATTCCAATGCATTACCATTTCTACGGAACAAGTTGACACTTGTTCCAACCCCCTACCTGGAGTATTCGGGGATTGCGTTCGTCAGACCTCTAACCATTGACCAACCTGGTATGAGAGACTCTGTGTGTCGGGGGGACACCTTGTAGTTAGCACAATAGGTCGCTGAGGGGCATAAAACGTCACACCACGGTAAGGTCTAGTCTCTTCGTGACGGTGGCTGATATTACCATCTGAGAAGGTATCCTAAACTCACTTGCTTGGCAGAGCATAACTTAAAGAATAACATCATGCAAAAATTGGTAGACAAAGCCCATTCATTTTGTTTAGGCTTTGAGCCACATGTAGTGTGATATATATTGACTGCTCTGCGGAACGGAATGTTCCTCCTTGGAAGATTACATCGGAATATTTGAACGAAGTAAAAGATGGCACTGAAGATACCACAATCAAACTGGTTCTCCATTGTCAGATGTATTACATAATTTAAAACAGGGAATACAACAAGAAGCAAATACTTAACGACCCATGGGCCCAAGAATCGGGCCATGTACGCAAATACTCGTTTCTTAGAATAAAGGCCAAGTGGAAGAAAAATGAACATAGCCCTAGATAGCTTAAGCGCTTTTGCGAATTTTTGGCAACCCATTTAGTTTATGGTTAAGTTCATCCATAAAATTAATGTAATATATCATACAAAAAAGCCTTATGACCATCGGTATTTATTTTCCTTTCTGCATCCTATCCAATTTGTAATAGTGATATCTTTATTACGAGTCGTTCTAGTCAAATACTCTTCGAAGTTTTCTGTATTTTTTCGTATTTTGTGTATTTTACGTAACGTAACGTACTCAGACAAACTTGGACATCACTACCGTTTTGTACATCTGTAGCAGTTGGCATAGAGCGCCGTTAACCTCATGTAAAGTTGTCTAGCTTTCTCAGAAACCAGGACTAATATACGGATACAACTTCATGCAACTTGAGAAAAACCATTATTCTAGGAAGTCATACCAGAATCACAAGCTAACCAATGTGTAATAAATTTAACAGTTAAATAAATCATAAATAGATTAAGGCTACTGCTGTAATTTCATGGTATTTAAAAGAGGACATATAACAAAAGCGAAAGTTAGCATATCCATTGTAGGAGCACAAGTGACGGCAAAAAGTGTGCTAGATGGAATGAAACGACATAGCTGCGTACCTCTTCGCATCTGCATGTTGAAGGAAGTTCTGGGTAGAGATTCTTATCAACCTGATGAAGAAGAACGAAGGTGGCAGTTGAAACTTCAGAACTTGGAAATCTTTGTACGCTCGTCTAAACTCACGGAATATGTATACTTATNATTAAATTTCAGACTTAGTTGTCAGGTTTGTATAGCTATTTTTTTATCTTTCGATTGAAATAAGACTGCCTTATTCCACGTCTTCTGAGCTCGGAATAAAATAGCAAAGGTACCACTAGATATGCAGTGGAAGAAATCTATGAGATATGTGGCATTGAACAATAACAGAAATAGCGTGGTTCGTATGGTCCAGGTTGCTCCAACATACATGGTTTGCTGCTGCTAAAACACTTGCATTTGTTGGCTGTTTGCAAGTGGTAGCTGTCACATGCAACCTTTGGCATGTGAGCTGAGCTATTTCGTGGGTAGGAAACCAAAAGCCCTCTACTCAGATCGGACATGCCTGAGCACAAAGGCACATATGAGCCTATTCACTATTTCGTTCAATGTCTCTCCGATTATAACGCAGGTCATAGATGAAGGCAGAAAGATAAGCTATCACCTAAGTATCCGAATGAGACAAAAAATATAACCGAAAACTACCCATAAGACAGCCAGAACAAGACGCTTCATCTTTACAGAGGAAGGCGATGAAGTTACAGGCAGTGTCCGCGGTGTGACTAGTGGTGATGTTTTGGTAGCCTAGCGAAGAGCGATCAATTTGCACTCACCATGGTACACCCACAAAGACTGTAGTCTTCTGGATTCTGGAAAGAAACGAAATTTTGGTACAAAACGTAACAATTCAAACATAGAAACTCGTTTAAATAAGTTAGCTTGTAGAAAGACAGTGAATGCGAATCAATCACGCTGTCATGTTGTGCAACCATAAAGGTTGAACTATGAATAAACAGTTATTTGAGAAACACTAAAACTATGATGTAAATTATGCTGTACAATTTCTGAGTTGCGTTGAATTTTAGTGTGTTCATATAACGGTTACTCTTACTACTGATCAGCCAACCGTGGCTCAGCTGAGGTTTCCTATCAAATTTCCGTGGTTTCGCTGGAATGAAGCTCATTTTATGCGTTATCATATAGTTTTCAAATAACGCCAAGTCAAATGCCTCACACTGGGTTCCTCACATTCTGACTGATGGCTTCAAAGAGCTCAGAGTGAAACATGCATACTTTAAAAAAATTAACTATGGCGTTGGACAGCACTGCGAGGCTATGGAAACTAGCTACCGTAGGTAATTAGAACACAATACGACTGCAAGAGTAACTGAAATTCTGGAATGTAGTGTATGTAATTTAGCTTTGCATAATGCAGGATCCACTAGGAGGAATCTTCTATCTGTGGAATGCTTTGTAACTCCAAGAACTTGATAATCAGCATTTCTTTGGAACTTTTTGCGTTACGAGGTGGTAGATTAGGATGGCTAGGTCAGCGCTACGAAACACAAGAGTCTTTGATACTCTAAGATAGGGATAAGATATACATTAACTTTACGGGATACAGACACCATGCAGCTTAAAATTCATGAGCTGAAAAGGGAACTCACCTCACCACATATGCACAAAGGATGTTGTTTGTCCAAAAAAGTCAAACGACTGTGTTTTCGAGTCTGAGGCAAAAGAATTAGAAACAAATACAACTCTACGAAAGAGTGCAATGGAGATTGGTGTTTACTTGTCCCACCATCGCATTTTGATAAAAATGATGGAAAATTTAAGTACCGTACTGATTTTTTTATGCCATAATAGGAGCAACGCTTTTATTTAAAGTAAACTCTCAATTTTGCTTAGAGATTCGTTATTCACACAGCAATTATTTTCATTAAGTTAGCGGAAAACTATTGAGATAACAGTGAGGCAAGCAGTTAATTGGCCAGTGATATGGTGAAAATTTCAGCATAGGTTAACTTCACAGCAAGAAATCTTCATTAATATTCCCTTACTTTTCAAACAACGCAGGTGATTTGTAAGAAGCTCAGAGGTCGAAAGGTTCCAAAGATGAGTGGAAGTTCCACCTACGAAGTCATCATTTGGGAAGCCGGTCAACATTTGTGACTATGTGCTGTTGATCCCATGACTGAAAGATGAGTGCCAATTTCCCCTCTCTAAGTAGAAGTTAATCATACTGCCGCTCATGGGTGAACAGTTGAACGTGCGAACTCCTAGTCTGCAGGACACGAGTTCCATACTCTAGAGTTTCGTACGGTGGACACCGCTGGTGTTTCCCTGTAAAGATGAAACAACTGTATAGTGCTTCCTGGCCTCTCAGCACAAACTTTTATTTGCAAGCTAAAAATGCCTATTGAATTAACACATTGAATAAAACGTTTGCATAACTAATTACTTCTGTTTTTTAGGCCAATATGTACAGGTCATTTAACTGTCCGGAGCTGAAAGGGCGTTTCGACTCTGTCTCCTTGTTTGCTGCACTTTTCATTGGGTAACTGTAGACGGGTCGTTGTAGTCGCTCACACTTGGACTATCTTGGACAATAATAAACGTAGTTTTTTGTAAAATTTGCTTCGGAAGACTTCTCGTTCACTAAAGAAGTCCCGTGACAAGATTTAACTGGCTAGAATAAACCCCTCGAGGATAGGAGGCTTGTGCTTGGATTTGGCCCGGTGGTCATTTGAACGAAGCCTCTAATACGACTAAGCTATCTTGCACTATTTTAGAATACCATTTGATGATGTTACTTATAGCAGGTGTGCTGCATGAAAGTCATAGCTACTCGGTCCGAATGTTTGTCACCGAAAGAATTGAGGGGTTCTCCGAAGCACTTCATTTTTACGCCCATGTGTAAATATACTAGTTTAATAGAGGTCTCACCATTGTCGTTTTCTTTGAGGTTGTCGTTTCCATAAGTGTGTAAGTGGAACTCGAAGGAAGTGAATCCTGAAAAGAGTAAAAGTAGGGTTTAATTGTGAATAAATTGCTGTTGGTGCTACTACCTCTTTTGGTGATAGAGACAAACTGTACACTAGATTGCTTGACGATTCCACATATACGTCGAGTAAAGTGCCTGAAGAACTAAGAGTTGGACGAGGTTCCGTTCCACAACTAATTCAGTGTGAAGCTTATTTAGCGAATAACACAGTTAAGGCAAACATCATGCGAACCTATAAAATGACTGTCCGTCAAAAGTTCGGAGCAGCGATGCGTTCGGGATGGATGTGTGTGGTGTAATTAAAAGAAGCGCACTTACAACTGGTTGGGTCCCTGATTGTGTACTGCTTGCTATGGCGCCATCCGCTCCGAGGGACTGTGTATCCTGTGACAAATTGAAGTTCAACCTAGTTATTAACAGCTTATACAAATAGCTGAATTCTACAGTGCAAACTTCCTAGGTATCAAAATGCACCACATGGAGACTGGTGCTGGTATTTCAAAAGAATAATTTCAAAGCTTTGGTAGAAAGCCCTAACTATGCAAGTACTTGTGTGAAAGACCTATTTACTCAAGCAAAATTTGCTTGAAATTCTCCTTTGTCGCTACACATCGCGCAGTAGTAATGGAAGTTTTGGGGAGGCAGCGGGCTGAAATACAGCTCGAGGAGCCTGCTATTGAATTTTAATCACTGATTAGTTGGTTTACGTTGGAACAGTTCTTTACCGACCGTCGGCAGGGAGTTAATAAATGAAACGGTCACGTCTAGTCCCAGGCTACTCTAAGCAGTGTTGGGCATCGAATGCAATCGTTCAATGGTTGGCTGGTAGTTGGGCTCGATACCTTCTAAGAACAAGCCTTACGAGTCAGAAGTTACCCGATTTCTCAATGAAGCTCACAAGGAGACAATTATTAGAGATCTATGGAGACGAATAGAACGCAAATAATATTTGCACTAGTGTTTTGGGTAAAAATTATGAAAAACTTGCGTGTTTAGTTAACCGTAAAGCAGTCAAATTAGCATACACAAAAGATCGAAGAAAGAGTACCGAAGGGAAGGGTAGTTAGCTTCTCTCGAAATGGTTCCAGATCTTCGAAGAGGCAGCTGTGTTGTTGACTCGGACTTTCAAACCGCGATGGACAGTGTACATCTGGTTGTCTAACATAGGCCGCAATCGACCGACCCAAAGAGGATTATAGTACGCTTTCCCGCCAGCTGATTTCTCACACTTTTCAGTTCACGGTCATCATCGTAGGGCAGAACTTCACTGCGGTCAGGACTACAATCGGTTTTATCGAGCATGACAGAAGTGGATCCCGATACTTCAGTATGTTAAATGAAAGAAATTCGGTCAATGTACCACTATTATTTTTTTTTCACTCCCGTTTGAATTTCAGTGAGTGAATTTCCCACACACGATTCGCAAACACTAATCGCTGGGCTTGAAGTTGCTTCTGATTTTGCGCGCAGATCAATCTCAAAACATCTTTCGCGTCTTGATCGTGTATAAATGCCACACCTGATCGGCCTAAGCTGGCATTCCAAACCTCTACTGTTCCCTCCGTCCGTAAAAAATAATTTCACCCAACTCCAAATAGGAAAAAGCACAGGATGGAAGTATTTATACGATGGAAATATACTGACAATATTCTAAGATACATATTTTTCAACAAGACCACTTCACTGCCTCAAGTGGCTTCGAAACAGGAATAAGCATAGGTGGTTTTCAATGAAAGACTCAGCTGGAATTCTATCCACTATCCCGCAATGTGTTGATTGAAACTGTCATATTGTAGAGGTCGCCTTTTTTCTATCTGGGATGATAATTAGGTAACCGGCTTACTTTCCTCTACATGGTTCAACTCATGAATTTGTGTACTAACCGTTTCGCTGTTCTTGAGTCTCATCAGTTAATGTGGTCTCCGAATTTCTGTTAATTGCTTTCCGCACAGAAACACCAAAAAGATATACAAGAATAATACTCCCTCAAAAAGTTGCTATTATTAGGTAGCTCAACTGGGTGTACCTGGTGGCACGTGCAGTTTGGTGGAATTTCGTCCGGATGCAACTGTCGATCGGCCTAAAAATGGGGATGGAATAGTACCGGTCAATTTTTTGAATTTAGCTTGTGAGAAAAAGAACATGATATTTTGTGCATGAGTTTTTTGAAAAGTTTATCTTGAAAAACGGTTGCTAGTGCTCTAAAGAAAGAAGTAAGGAAGAGAAACCAAATAGATCATTTGTAGACACAAAAAATTATTCACAAACCAAATTAATGTATGGAAAGATTCAGGATAAATTTGACCGCGTCTCCGTTGTTTTTACGTTTGCCGACCAAATGTGCTCCGTGTCTTAGCCGGAAGGATTCTCAATATATCAGAGTATCTTCCCTCACGGTATAAAATTTGCCTTCATATCAAGAAAAAACTCGACAGTGTCGCCCCTAAACGCTAGAATTCTGCCTCCATAATCAAAAGGAATCTTGTATTCAAAATAGGTGCAAATTTGGACAAAGTTGCCTTCATATCAAGAAAAAACTCGACAGCGTCGCCCCTTAACGCTAGATTTCTGCCTCCATAATCAAAAGGAAGCTTGTGTGCAAAATAGGTGCAAATTTGGACAAATAAGCTCTATTTTTAGGTGTTCTGCAAATGGAAGTTGGAAACAACTATCAAGGGCAAGTGGCTGATATAGGGAGAAGTATTTGTTCACGAATAAAGTCTGTCTCATTGATATAGAACAAAAATTGTGAACGAAAAACCAGTGGAAACTTTTGGTGGTCCAACATTCACTGTTTAACGTGGCACTAAATACCGATCCACGTGGTAAAAAAACTTCCTGTCCATGTGGCCGAGACAAGGAAGACCCAACCATTTAAGCAAAAGCTTTAACTGTGAATCTGATTTGGCCTCAATTATTTGATGCTACATGACCATGCTAAATGACGGTAACTGTACGATGTTAGCTGGAAGTTTCTTACGACTTCACATTCACAGCAGATGAACTAAATTATAAAGTCTCTCCCTTCCTTAATCTACTAGTGTTTTGCTTTAGCAGCTTGGATTTACCTGCAGTCAGTTTTATCAGTCTGGCCCGGAAGAGATGGGCTTTCAGAAGAAAGCAGAAGTTAGCTGAAGTACGGTAATTGGTGGTGGCTGTTCTGCTACTGAAGATTCTGCAACGCACAGATCAATGTAGCGTTTTTTCTTTATCTTCTGACTTAGGCTTCGCTGCATGTGCCTCGGTTATGAATAAGATTAAATCCGAACCA